TCTTTCTGGCAGACAGATCTCTGGCAAAGACTTTGGAGCCTTAGTTCCGCTCGATCGCTTCTTCAATACGAGCTGTATTGAAGTTGCGTAAGTCCCGCCGCATGCATTTGGAGATCTGTCTGTTCAGATGCCTGTATGCTGTCAAGTCTGTTGGAGAATGTAGCTTCATCTCCCGTCTAACAGCCATGAGATTAAGAGTGTGATCGGAGAGTTTTTGTGTTAACTTAGCTCCGACCGCATGGACAGTTTCCACGAGCTTGTCATTCATATCGTCCACTTCATTGCAGTCTTCTAGGCACTGAAAACGGTTTTTTTAACTCGAGCTGAAAGGTTTCGGGACTTTGGAACAAAGCACGAGGGGGACGGAGCGTTGACTTCATTAGACGAGACCTCTCCAACTTAACGTTTAGGTTCAGTGTGCCTCTAACCATTCGGTGATCGCTACCAGTTTTCACCCTCGCGATCACGGAGACATCACTGAACAGTTGTCGTCTGGTCGTCATAATGAAGTCAATCTCATTTTTTGTCGAACCGTCGGGGCTCGACCAGGTCCACTTCCTGTGGGGCCGCTTCTGGAAGAAAGAGTTCATCATAAAGAGTCCCTTTTTCTCCCTGAAGTCGGCCAGCTGCTGGCCCCTTGGGTTCCGTTGCCCTATTCCAAATTTCCCTACTTTCAGCTCACCGTTCTCTCTTGTGCCTAGTTTTGCATTGAAGTCTCCCATTAACACCGTATATTGGGTTTTGGAGGAATGCATGGCTCTAGAGATATCCTCATACATTTCCTCCACCTCCTCATCGGGGTGTGCCGAGGTTGGTGCGTAAACCTGTATGACCTTCAGCGAATAACGTTTGGTGATTTTGAGTATAAGGTACGCAACCCTCGTCGACGCACTCCCGATCTTTACAACGTTGTTAACGAGAGACTTGTGGACGATAAATCCGACACCTCCTTGGGACAGATGGTCGCCCTCCCGGTGATAGAGCAAGTTGCCGGATTCGAGGATTACCGTGTCCTCCCCCTCTCTTCGGACTTCGGATAATCCTATAATATGCCAGCGCAACTTGTCTATCTCTTCATCCAGCTCCACAATCTTCTCGTCAGTCCTCAGGGTGCGTGCGTTGTACGTTGGCAACGTCAACGTTGGTCGAGTCGTCTAAGGTGGCAACCGAACCTCCACCGGAGATTCTTAGCACCCCCTGCCCCGCCGTTACCATGGTCGCCACCGTAGCCAGGAATAGCGGGGCCGCCGGGGACTGGGGGCCGTTTCTTACAAACTTACTTTTCTTTTTCCTGTTTTTCATTAATGGTGGGAGTGAATAGGTTGAAAGAATCGCAGTTGGACGAGGCGTCACACATATAACCTAGGGACGCAAACAGAGTCATAGCATCGATGGTACCTAGCATGGAGATCACGGGGAAGCCCGAACCCCCCTGGAAATTACCACCAGGCCCTCTCCTCTGGTCGCCAACCGGCATGGTGGAGCCATCCCAGGATTTTTCGTAAGATGACGGGGCAGCCTTTCATGAGTGGCTGGCTCATTAATTGGGCCCCCAACTATCTACGGTCGGCCAGCGGTGCAACCGTGCTTCGGATCCCGCTAACCTCCATAACCAGGCACCTGACACTAAGAAACGGCCGCGTCGCAACCGGTCCGTATGCGTAACGCAACTGTCCAGACCCATTCTCCCTAAGAAATGGGTTTCACCTAACATCATACTGGAACACGATTTGCATCATTTGGCGGTATATCTTTGCCAGATGAGTGGTAACTAACCCTCGGCCGGGCCTCTCACTAGTAGAAGACCAACCTACCACCAGTATGTAGTACTGCTCGTTTAGCACTACCCAGGGGATACGTGTGCCTACTCTTTTAAGGGCAGCAACGCACCTGCAATTGTAATAATAATGTCTTCCAGACCGAATTTCGGTCACGGCGGCAGGCCTATGCCGACTAAACGCAGGACAGGATTACAGTGGCCAAGAGTACGCGCAAGCACAGGTGCACCCTCTATTCCTTCACTCTCATAGACCGATGGGACGGTAAACCGACACGACCGGAGAGAATTCGGGCGCAGGACCTACAGCTTTACGTGACACCAGCAACTTCCTGATTCCGGGCATCTACTGAGAATTTCTTGACACAAAAACTCAATAACTGATATTTTTTGACCCGACCCGGGATTCCAACCCGGGACGTCATGATCAGCAGTCGCGTTTACAACCAGTAGACCAACGAGGCAGTCTGCAATTGTATCCTGTATATGTCCCCTGATGTTGCGGATGTTAATGAGCGACGGTGGTCACTTACCATCACGCGAGCCGTATACCTTATAGATAGAGCCTTTGCCTCCTCTTCCATAAAAAAAAACACATCCTTACGAAGTCTCATCAAGCAGACAAACTGCATTCGTATAATATTGGTTTGACATAAAACTTTAGATTAAAACTTCTTAAAATAACTGTAGATAAGTAAGTGTCGGGCGACTTGATAACGACCTTTAAATATAAATAAGTTTACAGTTTGCAAATACAATAACAAATAAAGTTGATAGTTCAAGGGAATTTTATAAATTGAGAATTTGAAGATGTGCCCTAGTTTAATTCCAAGATTATTAATGATTTCTTATATTTACGCGAATACTACACATAAAAAGAGACCAACGCCTTAGCGATTTTATCGCGTTTAAGTTTAACTTTAACTAATGTTTAATTTTAATTTTGTTACTTGGTAGAGCCACGCTGCAGCTATATTATGGTTGTACCACGCTCTCAGAGAAAACCAGCGTAAAATAGCAGCCTAAAGCTGCTGTGTTTCCTATGGTGAGTATAGAGAACCGGAGACCCTTCTTACTGGAAACAAGGCATTCCATCACAGTCCACAGATGTGGCAACGCATCTTCATTTTGATTTTTAATTGAGAATAAATGTAGATGTCTGTGGGCCACAGCATCCACTTACCATCAGGTAGACTGTGTGCTTATTTGTTACCCTTATTTCATATAAAAATAATCTTTTTAATTCCGAATGTTTTGGATGCTCTACAGCACCCATGGTCACGGGGAGGGCTGAAGTGTTTTGCGTCTCGATGTCATAGTTAGCCCAGCTAACTTCAGCTTTTGAATTTTAATTTTTGGTCCGTTCTACGCAGAACAAGCTTACAGTATCTTGAAGTATATGATCCCAAACACATTTTATTGATATAGTGTAAAGTCATTGTAAAGAATATTAAAGTAAAAATGTAGAGTGGATAATAAGATGAACAAAAAATTGGAACTATGTTTTAGCTTTTTTAGATTACCAGCCAGTAAGAAATCGTTCATCGAACCTACGTTATGGATCAAGGCTAAAAGATTAATAAAAACAGTGAGATACATTCTGTAAATAGGGCAAGTATAAAAGTTAGTCATACCAGTTAATCGACTTCAAAGAGTTTGTAATTGTTTTATTGGGCACGGCATACGCTTTTACAACAAAGGAAATACGCAAAACCTGTATAAAATGGGTTATTATAATTTTAAAGAATACAATACTGATAATAAACCCTGTTATTTCTAACGTATAATAATTAATTTTCTATATTGTAATTTAATATAAATTATTATTTGTAAAAAAGTCCAGCTGGGTTTCTTACTAGTTTTTTTTATAGAATAGTCCACCTGATGGTAAATGGATGCTGTGGCTTGTTCTGCGTAGAACGGACCAAAAATTAAAATTCAAAAGCTGAAGTTAGCTGGGCTAACTATGACATCGAGACGCAAAACACTTCAGCCCTCCCCGTGACCATGGGTGCTGTAGAGCATCCAAAACATTCGGAATTAAAAAGATTATTTTTATATGAAATAAGGGTAACAAATAAGCACACAGTCTACCTGATGGTAAGTGGATGCTGTGGCCCACAGACATCTACATTTATTCTCAATTAAAAATCAAAATGAAGATGCGTTGCCACATCTGTGGACTGTGATGGAATGCCTTGTTTCCAGTAAGAAGGGTCTCCGGTTCTCTATACTCACCATAGGAAACACAGCAGCTTTAGGCTGCTATTTTACGCTGGTTTTCTCTGAGAGCGTGGTACAACCATAATATAGCTGCAGCGTGGCTCTACCAAGTAACAAAATTAAAATTAAACATTAGTTAAAGTTAAACTTAAACGCGATAAAATCGCTAAGGCGTTGGTCTCTTTTTATGTGTAGTATTCGCGTAAATATAAGAAATCATTAATAATCTTGGAATTAAACTAGGGCACATCTTGAAATTCTCAATTTATAAAATTCCCTTGAACTATCAACTTTATTTGTTATTGTATTTGCAAACTGTAAACTTATTTATATTTAAAGGTCGTTATCAAGTCGCCCGACACTTACTTATCTACAGTTATTTTAAGAAGTTTTAATCTAAAGTTTTATGTCAAACCAATATTATAACAAGGCGAGCAGGCAGTAAAGTATATATATATATATAACGATCCGCCCCGGCTTCGCACGTGTGATTTAGATCTCGTTAACAGCACCACTTCCGGTAGGTCGTCTATTGTAAATCTAAATCAACAAACAAACACAAAATTTCATCAAAATCGGTCCAGCCATTTAGGTGGAGTTCAGTTACATACACACGAACAGAAGAATTATATATTTACACCTTCCTCTTGAAATTAAATGAATATGAAAACCCCATCAAAATCAGTTACGTAGTTTAAAAGATCTAAGCGTACAGACGGCGGGAAACGACATTAAAAGTAAAAATATATATATTTAACGTACTATCTTTTGTGGGTGGAATTTCATACACATTCACATTATGTTGCATGATAAACGATAAAAATAAAACAAATCAAAGGTAATATTCCAATCGATGACTCATTGTCATTGTAACCAATTTTAAATGAAAACATAATATGATAATAACGTTCACTAATTGACATATAATGTAAACAACCGCGGTTGAATAAAGTTACACGGCCAGTAACGAGTGTGGTGCACGCTAGTGTATGACGTGAAAATGGCTACAAAAATAGCAGTCGTAACTGGCGCTAATAGAGGTTTAGGATTTGCTGTGGTAAAAGGCCTTTGTTTAAAATTCAACGGCAAAGTATATTTAACAGCACGAAATGAAGAAAGTGGCTTGGAAGCTGTGAATAAGTTAAAATCAATAGGTCTGTGTCCAGAATTTCATTTACTTGACGTAAATATTGAAGACAGTGTCAAAAATTTCGCGGATTTCATTAAAATAAAACATGGTGGATTGGACGTCTTAGTGAACAATGCAGGTATTTTGGAACGGGATGAGATATATCCATCTTATGACGCTGCAAAACGTAATATTGACACAAATTATCGCAGCTTACTAACAATTGAAAAGTATTTATACCCCTTACTAAGAGATGGCGCTAGAGTCGTGAATATTTCAAGTGCATGTGGACATCTATCAAATATAAAAAATAAAAAATGGCTTAAGTTATTGCAGAAGAAGGATTTAAAAACTGAAGAAATTAATGAATTTGTTAATGAATATCTTGAAAGCGTGAAAAATCAAACATTCAATAAAGATGATTTTGCCGATCAAGGTAAACATGCGGAGCACAGAGTATCAAAAACGGCATTAACTGCGTTGACTATGGTACAACAAAGAAAATATTTTGATAGAAATATTTCTATAAATGCAGTGCATCCAGGACATGTGAAAACAGATATGGCAAATGGAGGTGGTGTATTAGACCCTGACCAAGCTGCTGACACAATTCTTTATTTAATTTTGGATGCTTCTTCAAATCTAAAAGGTACATTCATGTGGCATAATAAAAAGCTTGTTGACTGGTATGATACCGATGGCGACTATTACTGTAAAGACCTTTGGTAATTAAAACTTTAAATTATAGTAACAAATAACAATGTCAAAACTAATGAGCCAGACACATCAAAAATGCCAATGTATTTTGACTAGAATCAATCCCACATAACGGTGAATTTAGTTGGTAAATCGCACTGACTTAGCGAAACAAAAGCCCCTTCACTTTTGTCTTGAGGACCTTCGTTGCTAAGCTTCGTTGTAACTTGTAATTGCAAGAAAAGACAAACCAATAATTCCACTCTTTTCTTTGCGCTGTACTCATCAAGACCAGAGACTAACGAGTGGACATGTCGAACGACTAACCAAACCGTTTAACGTACCATAAACTTTTAACAGATAACATATTATAAAATTTATTTATTAAAACATTAATGCTGGCATTTACTATAATTTCTTAATTTTAATATTTTCTATTGTAATGTAAACAAAATAATAAATTAAAATATGATGTAACTGTCCGGTATCTTTTATTAAAAAATAAACAGTAAAATATTTAAGAGCTGGTTTTTCAATCGTCAGAAATAAATGTTATCCATTAAATACATTTTAACATGATTTAATAAAAAAAAGTAAAGCAATTGATGAAACCTTTTACTCACACGACTGTAATTTTTAACTTTTTTATGTTGTATTTTATCCTATGAGTAAATTTTATCTGATTATAGAAAAATCAGTCCTGAACATTAAGAACACAACAGGCTGTGCATGAACAATGAGCATGCGCACGATAATAAGTCTCTTCGTAGAATAACCTTGTGGAATATTTAGAGACAATGGCAGGAGACCCGACGGTATGACTTAGGTCCCTTGGGAGAGAGTTAAATCTCTAGTATGGCATGTTACCTGTGTAGACACTTTGGCGGCCTATTATCTCAGGGATACCTTCTTCACAGCCGGGGAGGTATCGGCGGCAACTGAACTAAGTGGCGTAAATATGAGGCTCTGAGAGATTACTACATATTTTCGCCATTTGCTTTACAGACTATCAGTCTGTGGGGTTCGATGGGATCGATGTACTTTCTATAGCAGAGTTTCCTAACATTTTTTTTGACCAGGGACCACTTAATTTTTTTTTGTAGTTATCAGGGACAACAAGGTGAAAAAAAAACTGTGTTAGTTCAAGAAAAAATTGCTATCACAACTTTTAACATAATTATATAATAAACTGAATTGAAGCATTCATTAACAGTATATTTTTTTATATAGGATAAGGTGACAAACGAGCACACAGTCCACCTGATGGTAAGTGGCTAGTGTGACCCATAGACATCTACATCTATCATCAATAAAGACTCAAGATGCAGATGCGTTGCCACCCGTGAGGACTAAGATGGAATGCCTCTTTGCCAGTAATAAGGGTCTCCGGTTCTCTACACTCACCATACGAAACACAGCAGCGTTAAGCTGCTATTTTACGCTGGTTTTCTGTGAGTATTATTTGTGTATTTATTGTAAAAGCTAGTAGGTACCTACTTACTAAGGTGACGCGCGGTGTTGAAATGCCCGCGAGACGAGAAAATAATAAATATGTTATTTAAAACTTTCGCGGACCATATTTAAGCTCTTGTAGACCGCTGGTGGTCCGCGGACCACTGGTTGGGAATCACTATTCTAAAGGAACTGTATCCACGAATTGTCATCGCTGCCGATAATAAATGGGCTGGTTATTTTTCTCACTCAAATGCTAAGTATAACCATTCAGCGAGGAAATCAAGCCAGCGTTCTTGGTAATATACCGCGAGGAATAGGATTGCACGATAATATAAGTTTTTAATTTTACTTTTTTTATATAGTACCTACTTAATAATTATATTGTATATATGAATGTTATGTAAATAAAAGTCATCATAGTTCAAATATAAGATTTCAATTTACCATTATAACATTTTTTTTTCATTCATTACAACTTACCAAAAGTCAAATGCTGAACATAGGCCTTCCCCAAAAATTGCATGATGGTATGTGTATTTGCCATAGTTATCACGCTTGGCGTGTGAGATGGCAACCACAGTATATCTTTTTATTTTGAGTTGTTATCAAGAAGATACTGCTGCCCATGCTCCAATCATTCCATCATCATCATCATCATCTCCATTTTTATAACGTGTAATTTTATTTGAATAATCTTAGTTTGAAAAAAAAACATTCTTCATTTTTTATTTCTCCTCTTTACATTTTTTTTAAATAACACAAACGAACACACAATCTATCTGATGGTCAGTTGATGCTGTGGCAAATAGATATCTACATAAATCCTCGATAAAGAATTAAAAACGAAAATGCAGATGCGTTGTCACCCTTGAAGACTAAGATGGAACGCCTTGTTTCCAGAAAAAGGCTATCTGGTTCTCTATACTCACCATACGAAACCCAGCGAAAACGTTGTCGTTCCCCGTAGATATAAATTATTTATGTAGTTAACAGTGTACAGTTGTTTAATCAAAAAAGTATTAATAAATAACCTTTTCTTCTTTTATTATTCCATTACATCTTATAAAAGTCCACTGCCAAACATAGGCCTCCCAAATAGGTTGCCTCATGGGGAGGGCCGTTATGGATGGATGGATGACTTCTTGAAACAAAATCATATTGGATGATATAAATACCAATGATATATTTAGATGTTTTATTATTTGCAATTTTAATATTACGTCTTTACCTATGAAATTACCGTTTTAATGAAATAAGTCAACGTATATTTTTATTTATTTTTTATATTTCTATTAATCAAAGTAATCACCCACGAAATTGATGCATCTTTTCCAACGCAGTAGCAGTTTATTGATGCCCTTGTTGAAGATATCAGCTGAACGGAAGACCACAAATTCTTCAAAGGCATTTTGTACTGCCTCTCGGGTATTGAATTTTTTCCCGCCAAACAGTTATCCTTTTGTAACTTGTAACTTGGAGACCGTCTGTTGTGCAGTATTAAGTCGCACATTTTCGTGCAGGAGCAACGGCGACGAGCGATTGACCAAAGCTGGTTAGAGACGTCCGAGCTTCTCCATCATTCTGTTCAATTCTTCCCAGTACACATGCATGTAATGCTCATTCCGTTTGGTAAGAAGATGTGATGTATCACACCGACGTTAGACCACCATACAGTGACCATCACTTTTCTAGGTGTAATTTTCATTTAAGGCATTGTTATGGAGTTGTACCAGTATCCAATCAACTTGCTGAGCACTTGCGATTGTCAAACAGAATCCATTTTATAGTATAGGTATATTTAACATGTTTTGCTTATATATTTTATGTACAGTTTTCCTATATTAAATGTATATCACAGTAAGTATGTTTGTAATTGCACCTGACCTGCCCCAATATTTTAACACACCACAGGTTAACTGGTAAAGAATGACTTATGGCATTAAGTACATTGCACCTTTATTGCCTTATTTAAATAGGTGTTAACAGTAAAGTTTATAATAAAATCCTAAATGTAACGGTGATTGTTTAACAGAATGATGTGCGAAACAAAAAGAAAATATGGTACTAAAAGTGACGCCGTGACCAAAATCATTATGATGTCTAGGTTCGAACTGGATTTTGTGATTTTAGTGGAGTCTGGGCATGTGAACTATTAGTGAAAATGATGAAATAAGTGTGCCGATAATAATGTAAACATCAAGCTAGTTTGTCTTCTTAGGCGCCTCAAGATACTATCATCGAATTCGTTGAATGTCTGCTGGCTTAAGCTGCTATACAAATATCCCGAATTTCTTACAATGTGACGCTTCAAAATATTGTGATAATATATTCTAATATAAATAAATTATTATAAAAGATAATTTCATATCATTTGACACAGGCAAACAAACAACCGCACGAATCCATTACCAACAAAAAAAAGTAAATACGAATGTATTTTGTTTGACATTGACAATAGACACTTGAGCTTGACAGTATGAAATAATGTATTCCGTTTGTGAGAGTGCTTAAATTTTGTCTAAATTTAATCTTTCCTTCGATAATATATATTATTCCATATATTTTAAATTATATTGTTAAAACAAGATTTGCTTCATAAAATAACCTGTGTTTAACAGATAAAACTTTCAGTCTGTTAGGTAAGTTAGTGATTTAAAATTAAATACATTTTCAAATTGAATTTAACTGAATAGTTTTTAAAAGGAATGCGATGCTACCAATAATTTTACAGCGTCTGTTATAAAGAAATTGTGTCGTACGCTGGAAGTTGTCAATTTATTTGAAAGGTTTATTACATTTACTTTTTCATTCACTTCATGTTCTAAGCCAAAAAAGGCGGAGAAGTACCTTGACCTAGCGTAAAATATTGTCATTCTAAGTGCGGCACTGCGCAGACCTAGATTTAGTATTCCTAGTAGTGAAATTTCGTTTTTGTAATCGCAATGTGACTTGACGTGGTACTATAAAAATTTGCGAATTTCACGTGCCAATAATATCCATGTAACACTCCGGAATGTGACAGTTTGTTCGTCGGGAAGTGACCTTCGGCGCGTTTTTTGTGGTGTCTATAAATACTTCTAACATTATCTTATTTTCAAATAAAACAAAACTGAAAGTCTAGTTGCACTTTTACATTTATCAGAACGAAATTGTGTTTTTTTTTTTAACATGATAGTCTAATATGTTAGAATAATCATAATATATATAAAACTTAAAACATTATTACTTTATTCTTTAATGCAGCAACTCAATATCAGCACAAAATCTCAATAAACAACAGTATATAAATAATGTTTGAACTTGAACTATGTTCCCAAATACTGAACCTTCTTAAAGACCACTGTGCACCTATATGTGTTATCTCTACAGTCATAAAACATTGTGTACGTCACTAAAACAATGGTTCTAGTGAATACCGTTCGTGCAATGGCGTCATTTGCGGCGCAAGCAGCCCTCCGATCTCGTTGGAGCTCATTAATTGAATCAACAAGTGTTGATGTGCCGGGGGAAGTAACGGATGGGGTCCGTTCTGTCGTTGGATGGCTGAAACAGGCACTGTCTATTTTACAATATATAATGGGTAGAATTGTAATGCATTGTATTGTCTTTACTGTTTATTTGCTACATATGTTATTTCCTTTTTCTTATAAATAGTCTTCTGTAGGTTCTTCACTGTCTTGCACTTAGGTATTCTTACTTTTATTTAAAAACATTACAGCATGTGAAATTCATGTGGTATCATTATTTTGATTATTTAATATATTAATAGGTTAATGCATGTTTGGTGTATAATGTGGAGAAATATATATGAACACAATATTATATGAAAAACTAAAATGAAAATGTTTCTTTTTCCTCAAAACAGTTATATGGATTACAAATGAGACATCCCCAGTAAGTAATTTATAAGAGTTGTTGTGGGGCTATCTAGCTCTCCCTTATTAATTAACAATGTTGAGACTTTTTACAAAAGGCGAGTAAAAATTGAGTGACGTTGAAGAACCCAGAATGTTGAGTGTTGCGGGACAAAGTGTCGCGTAGTGTATCCAGGGCTTTACTCATTTATCAGTATATTAGATCTCCCCCTCCCTTTACTACTTAAAATATGAAACCACAAAGATTTAATTAATGCTTAGACAATTTTAACTACAAAGTTGTATCTACTATACGAACATAATAAAAGTCTCATCCAATTATCTAAAAATTTACAGATTATCAAAAGTGTGTTAATGATGCATTCTATTCTGTACCATATAGGTTGTATGTGACTTTAGAAAATCATTCCCATACCTCACATTATAATATTTATAGGTTTAAAAATCGAAAACTTAGTCAAAAAAGCAAAAAGTATGCCTTATTTAAATAAAAATTGCTTAAAGCATATTTATCAAACTCACATTAATAAATAAAGATCGATTTGTACTCTGTGATTGATGCCACAACTAGCCAGTAGCATTTCTTACATAAGATCCGTGTTTGCTTGGTTATAGTGTTATTAATTTATTAATTGTTGTAAGATTTGAAGACTATCTACATTTTATTTTATTTTATACCAGCTGTTCTCCGCGACTTCGCCCGCGTGTAATTTAGGGTTTCAATTATGTTGCGCGGATCCCTTCTCCTTATAACATCAGCTATCTGCCAGTAAAAGTCTCGTCGAAAGCGGTCCAGCTGTTTCGGAGATTAGCCGGAACAAACAGACAGATAGACAGACAAAAATTTTAAAAATGTGTTTTTGTTATAAGTACTGTATATACTTTCATATGCATTTAGGAAAAAGCTGGTATTTTAACATTACAAACAGACACTTCAATTTTATTTATTTATATAGATATAGATAATATTCAACTGTACGCTCAATATAAGTATATTTTCTTAAATTTAGTTTCTCAGTAAGCAAATTATTGTTAATTCTTTGTGAGAAATAAGGTTCTTATACTATGAACACTAATCTGTGGAGTCTTTGTCGAACATATTAGATTAGCACATGTCACATTTGTAGACCCTCAGAACAATTCTTTTTTATAACTCGCGATACCATCCACGCTATCTGGATGATTGACGGTCCACTACTGTGGGATTTAGAATAAGATTTTTCCTTGCACAACTTCTTGGGGAACTACGTTTACGCCAAAAAAAATATGTTCATCTTTTATTTTGTCCACGTTTGTCTACTAGTGAATGACAACAGAAGATAAGCGTTTTTTTCTGTTTGTGTACTCGGTTTGTATTGATTCAAATATTATTTATTATAATTATAATGTGAATCAATTACCACCAGCGATTTTTCCAGATCGATACGACTTAGGGACCTTCAAGAAAAGAGCCTACTCCTTCTTAAAAGGCCAGCAACGCAACTGCAATTCCCCTGGTGTTGCAGTTGTTCATGGGCGGCGGTAGTCACTTACTATCAGGTGAGCCGCATGCTCGTTTGCCCCCTCTCCTATAAAAAAAATGGTGAAATGGGCGCCAAAAGCAGATTTATGACGCTGTAAGGGTGCACAGAAAATCAATTTTTTGTCATTAAAAACGACTAATTCATCTTTTTTTTAATAATTATAAAAGTTAAAGATTTTCCTTAGCGAGTTATGATGCCCAAAACACGATTGACACATTTTATCTCCATACAAAAATCGCGAATTTTCCTCAAAATCTACAATTTTATGTACGTCCATTAAAGGAAAAAGCAGTTTCATTCGAATGTAGTTAAAGCAATTTCAATTAAATTACGTCTATGTGTTCCCCAGTAAATACATGGGGGAATTATGGGTTTATTTTCCGAAAAAAGAGTATATTTAATTTAAAAAAAATATGAAATAAAAATCGCGCAATAAAGTTGCGCGCGAACCGGCTAAACAGAAGCATATCGCCGCTCCTCGCTCGTGACCACGATACTATTTCGCCTTAATATTATGTAGGCCTTTGTATAATTTCCTTCGCTGGCGTAGAGTTGCTTAATGCTTACAGGGTTCCTCTTCACTTCAAATTTTATCAATGTAATGCAATAATTTAAAGAATTTCTTGAGGCAGGTTGTCATGTATAATACTATCCGTTTGTAAGGAGACCCTTTTTACTTGAAACGAGGCATTCCATCTTAGTCCTCAGGGGTGACAACGCATCTGCATTTTGATTCTTAATTGAAGATAAATGTAGATGTCTATGGGCCACAGTATCCACTTACCATCAGGTAGACTGTGTGCTCGTTTGTCACCCTATGCTATAAAAAAAACAACTGAGACGTATCTAACAACTCCTCGTTTACTAAAATCTATCAAGCCGGTTATGTTATTGAGCATACTAAAGAATTAGACATACACACGTACAAACATACATTCGAAAAACATTACCCTCCTTCTGGGGCAGTCGGATAATGTCATTATTTCTACGAACGTTGTAGAGCCACGCTGCGGCTATGTTGTGGTTGTAACACGAATGGGTCAGCTTGACCGGGGTAGGACGACGCTCTCACAGAATACCAGTTTAAAATAGCAGCTTAACGCTGCTGTGTTTCGTATGGTGAGTGTAGAGAACCGGAGAGCCTTTTTACTCGAAACGAGACATTTCATCTCAGTCCTAAGGGGTGACAACGCATCTGCATTTTGATTTCTAATCGAGGATAATAATTTTTATTTAATATAATTCTCATTTTCTCACATGTAATTCTTATTGAAAGTAATTTTTTTACTCACTTAGCAGAATAATGCTGTGTTTCGTACGGCTCTCAGGGGTGACAACGCATCTGCATTTTGATTATTAATCGAGGATAGATGTAGATGTATAGACATCCATAGGGACCACAGCATCCACTTACCACCAGGTGGACAAGGAACAAGCGCAAACTAGTTATAGCAGCTAGTCAACTTCATAGAGTCTAATTGCAATGCGCTTTTACAACCAAAACCCAGAAAATATGCAGGTTACATTTATTAAAGACTAGCTGTTCTCCGCGACTTCGCCCGCGTGTAAGGTTTTAATTTTTTGCAACGAACCCTAATTATTTTTCTATAATAAAAATAGCCTAAGTTACTCCTTATGACATCAGCTATACGCCAGTGAAAGTCCTGTCAAAATCGGTCCAGTCGTTTCGGAGGTTAGCCGGAACAAACAGAGAGACAGACAAAAATTTTAAAAAGTGTATTTTTGTTATAAGTATACCGTTTATACTTTCATATGCATTTTATAAAACGCTGTAATTTTGACATTACAAACAGACACTTAAATTTTATTTATTTGTATAGATTTTAAAATTTTTATGAAATAACACCTGTTTAATGTTTTTAATAATATTATAGAATACGTGATACGTGTGGGGTACACTGAAAGATTTGCGTTAAATGAAACGATTTATATGTAAACTAAATAATATGTTTACTACATCGATCACTAATAAAAAACTAGATACACAATCAGTGATAAAAAATGGCATAACCGAATGTGCACCCAGTCGAACATATGGGTGCACTTTTAATCTAGTAGCATTCGAATGCTTTGACGGTAAACATGTCTCAGTGTTCGTTTAAAAAGTGTAAAAATCACACATCCAGGACGCTAAAAAAGATGTAATTTCATATTTTCGGTAAGTGTTAATATTAACATTATTTAATTGTTATAACTGTATTGTAAACACTGATATTTTGTCAAGAAATCATCGTAAAAGTATTTTTAATTTAAGTCTTAATAAAATAAGGCGTCATTGGTTGAGGTATATGCGTTGATTCTGTTCCATTTGTGGAAACGCTATTGTTTTTTATTCTTTTATTATTAAAGTAAAATATTTTTTGTTTAATGAGAGTTCTTTAGTTTCTCTAAATATTGTAGTACTCTAAACGTCAGGAATATAAAATAAGTTAATATAAGCGATAAAATCCGTAAAACTAGCTTCATTTAAATGTGTAGTGAACGCGTAAATATAAGAAATCATTATAATTATTCAGTCTTATCCGTTTTTTTAAACATCTGTAAATATGAACATTACGTCAAAATTTGGACAATAATATTCTTAGATTTTACAAGAACTTTCTGTACTTATTTTTTATATTTAGTAACTATTATATTTAGATAAAACTTGTTTGTCAAGCAATATCTTTAAATTATTTCACACAAGATAAAGAATATATAAATAATTATGACTCTTTCAATTACTTTCATTACTAAATGAATGTGGTGCCCTATCCAAAAGTATATTTACATTCAGGTAATAATATAACCCTTACACACATACACCATAGAATAGAATAGAATATGCTTTATTAAGTAGACCAATTATTTAAAACAAGTTTAAAAAAATTGTAAAATTAAAATTACAGTAACAAAAAAATATTGTGCAATTCGACTCCACTCTCCTTGTCCAAGCGACGAGCCTCGGTCGTAAAATTTTATTGCTTTTTGTACGATGCTTTGTCAATACAACTTTACGTATTTCACTTAAGGTTGAATTTACATTAATGTATATTTATATCAACTAAAATTACGTCAAAACATTTGGTGACAGTTTTTAGAGAACTTTTGTATGGGATTGTGCATCTAGTTTTTATAAGTGATCGATGGTTTACTACTTTGGAGATTGAGTATCCATTACATTTTAAACACTTTTTCATCCGTTTAAGCAATTTTTGAAAGAAGTGGTATAATTAAAAATGTTGTTTACCGACTTCAATATAAATAAAATGAGAATATCATCAATGTAGTCGAAGTCAATTAATTAAATATGAATTATTAAGGATAACTCAAAAACTACTGGTCAGATATTGATCAAATTTATATGGGACCACATGAGAATAACAAGTTTTCAAATAAAAAGAATCATCAAAATCGGTTCACCTAGAAAAAGTTCTGAGGTAACGCAAAAAAATACATTCGAAATGAGAACCTCCTCGTTTTTTTAAAGTCGGTTGAAAATAAGGACCATTGGTTTGAGGGAATGTTTTTCACGGTCTGGATGAATGCTGTCACGGCCTCTTCTGGCTCCGTAAATGTCAAACCTTTACGGTTTGACATTTGGTTTGACATGGTAAAATAAAGAGATCGCATGGTACGAAGTCTGGACAGTGTTGGGAACAGGTCAAGAGCTCAACCTTTTCAGAAGCCAAAAAGACATTGTTCTGTTCGCGGTGTGCGCCGAAGCATTGTCATAGTGCAGTACGATGCGACTTTTTGTTCGGTTACTCAGCATTAACTATCATTTGCTCATCAAGTAGAATCGTGCAGACAAGACCTGTCTGAGAGAAAAAGAAATCTATATTTGAGGTGAAAACTTCTTTAGCCGCGTTGAGCGATTTTTAGTAGTAGAAAATCTTCAATTTTCTCTCAGACGTCACCGATGACCTTGACATGCCCGTAACACGTAGTATAGCGGCCTGTATACATGTATACGCATATATCATTGAGTTTTCATTTCTGTCGGCAGTTCTTATGGCTGCCTCTGTTTTCTTTTTTTTTTGCCCATGTTTCTTGTCTGCCTTATTTTGGTGATCTGCTGTCGCCATCGAACACCCGTACAGAAGACTGTTGCTTTCTTTCCGGAATGTAATATGTCCATGTTTCATCTCTTGTCACATAGCATTTGATCTTCTGTGATCACACTTTAACAAAATTATTTACACATTTATTTATTTATTTCAACTCGAACCCGCTTTTGTTCTAGGGTGAGTTCTATGTCCGACTGCTGGGCACAGGCCTCCTCACATCTCTGAGAGGGCAAGGCATTGTCCGCCGCGCTGCCCCAATTCGTGTTGGCGAACTTCACACGCGTTCGAAATTTTTTGTTTTATTACTTATACATGCAGGTTTTGTTGACGATGTTTCCATTCGCCGCCGAGCACGTGGTAAATTAGCACTTAAAATTGAAATTCACAATTTCATTGGTGCGGGCGGGGATCGAATCCGGGTTGTTCGCATACTCTGAAATTTACAGCGAGCGCTAACCATTTGAGCTACCACGGCTCTTACGTATAATCTTCACAGCTTAACTTATGTAATTGTGTAAAAATTTATTATATTCTTATATACATTTCTAAATAATATACAAAAGCTATAGATGACTTACCGATTTTACATTCTTTTAGAAATTTAAAAAATGGGGGAAGCGGCATTTTTGTTAAAGCGACTTAAATTCACAAAAATGAAGACCGCAAGCTATTTATTATTATATTTAGTTTGAACGTAACCCAACTGAAATAATAACCGGTGTTCACAAGGTCATAACAATCTAACTGACGCCTCGCGCTTTCGTTTAAATTACGTTAATTAATAAAGTAGTTAACTCACTTTGCTTGCAATAACTTTTCTATTGTAGATATGCTGCGAGTAAAATAAAAATAGTTAATTGTATGCTATACTTGCTTACTCAACTGTTACCTGAATAATTAGATAAGTTTTACCTTTACCCAGGGCCGGATTAACCTTTAGGCAGAGTAGGCAACTGCCTAGGGGCCCCGCATCGGGTAGGGGCCCCGTGCGCACACAAATACAATAGAAAATGTTTCATACAGAGAAAATTTTATTGGAAATTTCCAAAACCTCAGTGACAATAAGTATTATTACGTTTTAGCAACGCATACTGTCAGTTGATGCAATACTTTATACTTACAGAACAAAACCATCTAGTATCGACTAATAATATGGATACGTTACATCCCTTTATGCTGACTGCAAAGGGGCCCCGAAAATTCCATTGCCTAAGGGCCCCGACATGGTTAATCCGGCCCTGCCTTTACCATAGAGTGGCGGTGTGAGAATATCCACTATCCTATATCGTTCCTTGAGTATAAAATGCGACAGGGCGAAATAAACCAAGATATGGGCAGCAAGTATGTAGAAAATAAAAAAAACTGCGCGTGCCAATCCACCTGCCAAGCGTGGCAACAAGCAGGCCCACGTTCAGCGGTGTTCTTTCATTGGATGTTTTTTTTTTATAGGATAAGGGTGTCAAACGAGCACACAATCCACCTGATGGTAAGTGATTGCTGTGGCCCATAAACATCTACATCTATCCTCAATTACGAATCAAAATGCAGATGCGTTGTCACCCGTGAAGACTAAGATGGAATGCCTCGTTTCCAGTAAAAGGGTCTCCGGTTCTCTACACTCACCATACGAAACACAGCAGCATTACGCGCATATTATTTTACGCTGGTATTCTGTGATAGCGTGGTCCTCCCCCGGTCGAACCGACCCATTCGTGCTACAACTATACCAGAAATATAGCTGCAGCATGGCTCTACCACGTAAAAAATGATGTAGTGAATGAATGAAAATATTAGATGAATAATATATATGAGTAGTGTAATCGTGCGAGTAATGTTTTTCTTTTTCGAATATCAATGAATTGTTTAAAAAAGTCGAAATTGATAAAAAAATTATTTAAAAAATAAAATTTTCGTATTTCACTTTTTAAATAATGGATGATTATTGCATTTTTCCCTTTTTCCACAGAAAAGCAGCTTTATGGTAATGGCAACACTGTTATAGTTGTTAAGTAATGCAGATTGTAGAGGTAGGAGAGAATTATCACCCGGTCTCTTCTCGTTGTAAGAGACGATTATGGGGAGTGCCAAGAAAATCTTATAACCGTAGTGTAGGTGATATGTGCGTTGTCACCACTGGGGACCAAGATGCAATACCTCACAGCATATCATTATAATGGCTGTCTATGCCAGAAATAGTACAGTGCGAGCACTGCTATTTGGTGGCAGTAGTAAGCATTCAAGAATCCATATTACTGGCGGCAGAAATAGTTAAGAGGACGGTACTACTAGGATAAGAAATGGCATCGTACCACCTAGTAAAGCTTACTTATCCCCGGGAAAAGGAGAAAATGCTTATCCCCTCGCATATTTTTATTCACCCTTCGAGCATGGGCACACCGGTGGAATAGTATCCATAGTAAATGAAATGGGAGATAGACTTAGTCTTAAATTTTTTGTATGAATATAAACTTAAACCCACGTCCAATCAACTAGGATAGAATTGTCCCTTTCGAATGTCAAAAAAGCATAATATTTTGTCTTTAATTTGGCTCCATGCGGATATACTTCTCCCCGTAGCCGTGCTTTGGCATAAGGACTAGATAATGTTATCTCTTGTCAGTGGATATAATCGGGGGATAAATTTTTTGTCCCCAGCCCATGCAGGCCGTGCAGAAATGGAATTCTACTACGTAAAGCGTAGTAACATTTTTATTTTACTTTGTAGGAATTAAATATTTTCATTGTTACGATCAAAATATAATTTTATGCACTGTACTTGCATGTTAGTTTAGTGTTTTGTTTAGAAATTTACTTATGTTTATTGTCGATGCTTGCCTTTATAAAGAGTTACGTTATAATTATCGCATGATTAACTTTTAATATCTAGTGTTTCTTCATCGTCTTTAGTTATTTAGACGTTATATGAAAAATTAAAGTAGCTATTTAGCCTGCAACTTTACTTTTCATTCGATTAAATGTTAGATAATTCGCGCTTTACCTAATATCGACAACAACAAGTGAAAACAAAACGCTTCGCTATTAAACAGCTGTATTTATTTTGCGACTACACGACTCCTTTTAGAATTTTTTTCATTGTAGTTTTATACGTGGCAGAGCCACGCTGCAGCTATATTAGTATAGTAGTAGCACAAATGAGTCGGCTCGACCTTGGACCACGCTCTCACAGAATACCAGCGTAAAAATAGCAGCTTGATACTGCTGTGTTTCGTATGGTGAGTGTAGAGAACCGGAGACCCCTTTTTACTGGAAATGAGGCATTCCATCTTAGTACCCGCGGGTGACAACGCATCTTCATTTTGATTCGTAATCAAAGATAGCTGTAATTGTCTATGGGCCACAGCAACCACTTACCATCAGGTGGACTGTGTGCTCGTTTGTCACCCTATCCTATAAAAAAGCTTTATGAAAATAAATAGATTTATTATTATATTATAATAGATGATAGGAGAGCCAATAACAGGTTGTTATGTTTTATAATATGTCATCTAGATTGACAGTGCATCCGTAGCATTCGTAGTCCATTCTTGGTTGGTTGGTGGAGTAATCTAATATTATAAAAAAAACTATAATATAATTATATCGATGTATATTTTGCAGGCATCATTAGAAGTTCGACAAGTTGGACGACGCGCTGTGAGCCAGCTGTCCGGCCGCGGGATGGGTGACGACGTTGTGATCATACACTACAACGATGTGTACAATATCGAGCAGACAACTAGTAAGCTATTTAATAGAATCGGCCGTTACTTTGCGGAAATACATTATATAAATGATGTTAAATAAACGAAGCGGCCAAGTGCGAGTCGGACTCGCCCATGAAGGGTTCCGTAGCAGCAAGTAACATAATTTACGTTTTATGACGTATTAAAAAAAACTACTTACTAGATCTCGTCCAAACCAATTTTCGGTGGAAGTTTACATAGTAATGTACATCATATATTTTTTTTAGTTTTATCATACTCTTATTTTATAAGTTACAGGGGGGGGGGGACACATATTTAACCACTTTGGAAGTGTCTTTCGCGCAAACTATTCAGTTTAGAAAAAAATGATATAAGATACCTCAATATAATTTTTGCAGACCTATCCTTAGATACCCCACAAGTATGGGTTTGATTAAAAAAATACATTTATTTTCAATTAAGAATCGAAGTGCAGATGCGTTATCACTCCTGAGGACTAAGATGGAATGCCTCGTTTTCAATAAAAAGGGTCTCCAGTTCTCTACACTCACCATACGAAACACAGCGGCATTAAGCTGCTATTATACGCTGGTATTCTGTGAGAGCGTGGTCCTACCCCGCTAAGCTTACCTTAGTATAATAGAATACAATTTTTTATTTTATATAGATTGTGACGTAATACTTATTAAAAGTCTGCCATCACAGGGACGTTTGTTCATCGTTATCTCAATTTTAGTAGTTTCATTTTAAAATTAGAAAATACCAGATTTTTTTTTTATAGGATAGCGTGACAAACGAGCACACAGTCTACCTGATGGTAAGTGGTTACTGTGACCCATAGACATCTACATCTATACTCAATAAAGACTCAAGATGCAGATGCGTTGTCAGCCGTGAGGACTAAGATGGAATGCCTCTTTGCCAGTAAAAGGGGTCTCCGGTTCTCTACACTCACCATACGAAACACAGCAGCGTTAAACCGCTATTTTACGCTTTCCCCGGTCGAGCCGACTCATTCGTGCTACAACTTTAGTACTAATATAGCTGGCTCTACCACGTAAACTAATACAGAATACACAAAATATGTGAAATTCTAGAAATATATATTAGGTCAATTTAAAATTAGAGTTTTTTTTTTTTGCAATGAGTCTAATTTTGTGTACAGCCGCTAGTAATGTGTGTCACGGACTAGTTACACTGAATTTTAAATTGCCCGGCACACTCTCATATATTTATATATACTCACATATTGACACGTTTTACAGCTATGTTATAGTGACAGCTATATTATAGTTGTAACTCGAATCGGTAAGCTCGAACGCGGAAGGATCACGCTCTCACAGAAATCAGCGGGTACTAGTAACTTAATTGTGATGCGCTTCGTATGGTCAGTGTAGAGAACCGGAGGCCCTTTTTTTACTGAAATATGGAATGCCTCATATTCCATCTTAGTCCTCAGGGGTGACAAAGCATTCTCTTAATTGATGATAGATGTAGATGCCTATGGGCCACTGCATCCACTCAGGTGAACTACGTGCTAGTTTTTCACCTTATTCTAATAAAAAAGGCCCTCATGTATAATTATAACTTCTAGAATTGTTAGATTAAGCGATAAGCCCTGGAATGAGTGCTAATAATTTTCTGCTCACCAATGTAGTTTAATTGATAAGTTGTTTTTTAATAAAAGTTTATCAGTTTCTAGAGTATTATATTAATACGAGTACACAAAACAATGCGTCAGTGGTTTGCTCTTTAATTTTTTGCACATCTTTAACTTTTTTTAAAAAAATTCCACTTTTATGGTTTATTTATTTTTAATCTTAATTAATATAAAATATAGCTCATAGTGCAGAACGAAACAATAACCTTTAAATTTACCGAACAAATTAACTTCCCCACTATGAAATCTGTCAAATATTATATTTCACTTTCTAGTGACGCTGCCCTGGTGGCAGAAAAAGTCGTGGATGCCCTCATTGGCTAAACACATATATTATATGACGACAATAATAAATGTGCTTCGTATGGTGAATGACGAAAACGGGACTCCCTTTTTATTGGTAACGACGCATTCCATCTCAATCCTCAGGGGTAACAATACATCTGCCGCATTCACTTACCCTACTTAGTGGACTGTATGTTCGTTTGTCACCATTACTATATAAATAGGACGTGGCGCAGGACAGGATTATAGTCCTGCGCCGATGGCTAGTCAATGCCAATTGTATGAGCAAGCACAGGTGCACTCTCTATTCCTCACTCTCATAGTCCGATGGGACGGCTATCCGACACGACCGGAGAGAGATCAGGCGCAGGACCAACGGCTTTACGTGCTTTCCGAGGCACGGGAGTGAAACATCGCCAACTTCCTAACTTCAGGTTACTACTACTGAGAATTTCGCTGCACGCCGATATAAGTTAGGGAGAATATCGCGACATGACATCAGGAACATCACCGCTCACGCTGCCTAGTCGGATAGGACCAACACGACAACATAATAAAATAAATAAGGTCAAGTTAGATAATAAACCATATGTATACCCGTTGAAACAGTGTAGTGGCGGTGTAAGAATATCCACTACCTCATATCGTCCCGTGGGATCCGTAACAGGCGACAAAGTGAACAATCCAGGAGATAGAGTGGCATTTGCCAAAATAATTAATAATTTAAAATTTTGTACAGCCCACTTCAATATAAGTTGTTAAGAATAACTCAAATAACTCAAAAACTATTGGTCTGACCTTGATCAAATTCATATGGGACCACACGAGAAGTATCAGCTTTCATATAAAAAAAGAATCATCGAAATCGGTTCACCCAGTAAAAAGTTATGAGGTAACACACATAAAAAAAATATACGCGTCGAATTGAGTACCGTCTCCTTATTGGAAGTCGGCAGAAAAACCTGCGATTGCCAACCGCCTGCCAAGCGTGAAAGCTATAGCAAATTCCCCCATGAGGGAGGCCTATGTTCAGTAGTGGACTTTATAAGCTGTAATGGTATCGTGGATACCCGCTGAATCGAACGATTGTTGATAAACGGACAGCGCAAACGATCGAATACTAGGAGACATATAGACATAATATAATTATTTCTGTTTGCGTTCGCTTAGTTATTTTCTGCCGACTTCCAAAAAGGAGACGGTACTCAATTCGACGCGTATGCTTTTTTTTCAAGGTCAGACCAATAGTTTTTGAGGTATTTGAGTTATTCTTAATAACTTGTATTGAAGTCGGCTGTACAACATTTTTAATTTTAAAATTATGTTCACCGAGCCTCAACACTCACGTCAGCATTGTGTAAATATAACCGGTAAATCACAAACATGACACTAAAATCCAAATTAGGTTTTCTCTACCCATATTCTATATACCCATACTCTGTTTGGCTTCCTCGTTAGTCAAGTGATCGCAAACGCGACTACTTATCATGTGGTGCGGGTTCGAAACCCGGGTGTTTCAGATATTTTATTTATCTGTTAAGAAATTCTCAGTAACGGTCCAGACGCACGTAAAGTCGTTGATCCTGCGCCTGATTCGATTTATTTTCACAGGATAGGGTGACAAACGAGCATACAGTCCACCTGATGGTAAGTGGTTGCTGTGACCCATAAACATCTACATATATCCTCAATAAATAATTAAAATGCAGATGCGTTCTCACCCGTGAGGACTAAGGCCCGCCACATATATACGGAGTTCCGTTTCGATATTCCGATTCGGGATTCCGAACGCAGCAGAATCATATAAAATCTATGACCCGTCACACACGTACGGTAGTTTTCCGTTCAAAATTTAGCGGGCAAAACGGGATTTCGTATATGTTTGGCCGATCCGTTCTGCAATTCCGAAACGGAATTCCGTATGTATGTGGCCGGCCTGAGATGGAATGCCTCTTTGCCAGTAAAAAAGGTCTCCGGTTCTCTACACTCACCATACGAAACACAGCAGTGTTAAGCTGCTATTTTACGCTGGTATTCTGTGAGAGCGTGGTCCTTCCCCGATCAATCCGACCCATTCGTGCTACAACTATACTACTAATATAGCTGTGGCGTGGTTCTACCACGTATAAATCATATTAACATCTGAATAATACTCAGCTCACAGAACTACCGGGACTCGAACCAACTATAACTTTGTTTTTTTTTTCAGACACAGAACCGGTGGGCGGTGCGCTAAGATTCAGCACTGCTATTAAGGCATTGCAGCATCTCAACCCTCTCGTTTTGTTCAGCGGAGACGCCTTCTCACCTAGCATGTGTACGTTTTTCCTCTTTTAGCTTGCACATATCGATCGAAAAAGATAAATATGCTTGTACTCCACCTGATGGTTAGTGCCTACTGTATATCGTGAACACCTGCAACTGACTCCAAAGCAGCAGGGCAAGGCGGGGCATGTTCTCAGGAGGCATTTTGTAAAGGAAAAGTCTTGGAAAAGTCTACATACACACGCACGCACGTACACACACACTTGTGTCTGGCGTTAATTTCGAGAGTCGATATTGAAACCTAACTTAAGTCTTAGATAAAATAACTTACGTTCCTTACCTTATTTGCAGTGTAAGTCCCAATTATATTAATTGAAATTATATTCTTTATTTTCCCTTTTTTTGTACAGTAAGCACATTCACAAAGGGAGAACAGATGGTGCCTGTCCTGAACGAAATAGGAACGCATTGTGCAGTATTCGGTAATCATGACTTTGGTAAGTAATTACTTCGACCCTGTCAATTTTATATTCGTTTTTTTTTTTATAGACGAATAGATAAACCGACATAGATACGTGACATAACACGAGAGGAATGCGTTGCTGAATTTTTAGACGTAAAATATAAAGACGTAAGCTCATTTGGGGTACAGTCCAAGCTCAAAGCCTATTTATATTACTACGATGGTAGATAGGCTCTGCAGCCATAATAAGTTAAGGTCACTTGTCCGCAACTCCTTTAGTTGACAATGAACAGGCGAGAAGACTAGTTCTTTGTTTCGTAAACCGCGAACGTTGTTTTCGACAATGTAACACTGATTTTGTTTAATGTGACAAAGAAACCGCTGTCCTTATTTATGTGCGCACTTTGTCAACGTGATTTGAAGTTTATTTCAGACTAGCTGTTTCCCGCGACTTCGCCCGCGTGTAATTTGGTGTTTTAATTGTGTTGCGCGGAACCCTAATTATTCCGGAGATTAGCTGGAACAAACAGACAGACAGACAAAAATTTTAAAAAATGTGTTTTTGTTATAAGTACCGTAAATACTTTCATATGCACTTAGTAAAAAAACAAACAGACACTTCAATTTTATTTATTTGTATAGATAAGTATGTAACTTTATTTTGTATTTTTCAAAAAACAGTAACTGTCGTAAACGAAAATACAACTGCTTGACATATTTACCGTGTCGATTACCCGCCGTGTGATCCACAACTGTGATACTGCATGAATTATCGGTCTATGTAGTTTTTGTCCAAGCCTATACTTCGTTTTGACTAAAGATATTTACTCCTTATTCATCCACACCAGATTTTGGGCTGGAAGTACTCTCCGGACTGGTAGCCCAGTGCAATTTCCCCTGGCTGATGTCTAATGTCATCGACAATGAAACCGGGCGTCCCCTGGGCGACGGCAAGATAACTCACGCACTCATGTGCAACGGACACAAGATCGGACTCATCGGACTCGTTGAACAGGTATACCGGAGGTACTATAATGTGATAATTTTCTCCAGAACGAATTTCGGTCACGGCGGCAGTCTCAACGGAGTACAGGATTATAGTGCAAGAGTATAAGTAAGCACAGGTGTACTCATTATGCCTTCACTTTCATAGGCCGATGGGACGGCAAGCCAAGATGACCGGTGAGAGATCAGGCACAGGACCAACGGCTCTACGTGTGAGAGTTGTGAGAATTTCTTGACAGCAGAGGAACTTTAAATAAAATTAATTTTAAGTATTCTATCGCGTTTAATTTTAACTTTTTAATGCCCGACATTTAGTTTCATGTAATGTGTAGTGTTCGCTAAAATATAAGAAAGTGTTCGAAGAGAAATTCTTGGAACACAATAAGTGATTTTTAGCCCAACCTGGGATTCCAACTCTGAATGTATAGTCTAGTCAAATAAGGTCTGAAATTAAAACTTTAGCACTCAACGGTGCATTTTTGATACAATGTAGTTTTAATTATACGAAAACAATGTGTAAAGGTTTTTTGTGTCTGCAACCCCCGGCAAGGGTTGAAAAAAAATTGACAAAAGTGTTTTTTCGCAATTACTCGAAAACGGTAAAATTTAGACAAAAAAGTTATAAAAATGTGTAAGAGCTTAAAACTTTTCCATAAATAAAAAAAAATATGTTTTTTTTTCCTGCGGTCAAAATGAACCAAGTTAGGGAGGTTTTAAGTTTAAGGGATGAACGTAAATTTAAAAAAAATTGTAGGTAGTAGAAAAATAAGCGAATTTTTTTTTTTTTTATATTGCTTAAAAATCTAATGTTTAATTTTAGGGATACAGGTTTTTTTTTATTGTTAAAAAAATACGCGTAAAGCCGGTCCTGTGCCTAATCTCTCTCCGGTCGCGTCGATTTAACGTTTTATCTAAATATAAGAGTGAGACAATAGAGAGTGCACCTGTGCTTGCACATTCACTCGTGCACTATTGTCCTGTCTTGCTCCAATGGCTAGTCTCCGTTGTGGCCGGCCGCCTTGATCGAAATTCAGTCTGGAGGACATTAAATATATAAAAAAATATATATAAGCCTCTTCTCATTTCCGAGATGGTTTTGCAGTGGAGCTAACTACTTAAGTCTCTAACTTTCTTTTTTGCACTATTTTGTTCCACTTCATTATTCTCTCATAACTAAAGACTCCCTCTTTTTAGCCGGCTTATGAGGGTATGAGGAGTTAAGCAATTCGAATGTATTTTTATGTGTAACCTCAAAACATTTTTCTAGGTGGACCGATTTTGATGATACTTTTTGGTTTGAAAGCTGGTGCTTCTCATGTGGTCCCATATAAATGATTAAGATCTGACCAGTAGTTGAACTTAAATTCTTTTATTAATTTAATTGATTTCGACTATAATAACTTGTATAGTTGTTTATACACATTTTGACGTTTCAGGAATGGCTGGACACGCTGGCGACTATTAACCCGGAAGAGGTTACGTTCATTGACTTCCTGCAGGCGGGGTCTAAATTAGCGTCACAGTTGAAGCAAGAGGTAACCTATATATCATTAAACGAGTATTTTATCTACTATATTATTTTTATACTAGTATTTTTCCATTTATACATTATATAAATTAGGTTTTTTTTTGTTTGTTCTAATTTTGTTATTTTATTGTAGTGATAGTTTTATAGGTTACTGTTCTCCTTAAAGGAAGTCTTTTATTATATGTTGTGTTTACCTTTAATTTAAATGCATATATACAATTTTTTTTTAAGTGCACCTCATAATAATTGTTTCTATATGTATTTAGTTGGTAAGCCTTATTAATAAATAAAAAAAATAAATAAAAAAAAATATTTAACTAGCACCATCTAGATAGTTTATTTATTTTTTTAAACTTTTATGCACAAAAGACAAATCGTACATATGGCGGACGTAATGTCTTAAGGCATTCTCTCCCAGTCAACCATTAGGCTAAGCAGAGATAAACATAATATATTGTTACGAACTTGGGGTTCGAGACAATTAAAAACTGCCGATTGAATTACCAAAATTGACACTTTAATTACAAAACACTAGTTACAATTTAAAACCACACTAATAATAAAACACAATTGTACTACTGATCACTTTAGTTCGCAGTTATTTTGCTTCGAATTATTCGCTTATATCGCCAATTCAATACTCAATCGGTCGTGGTCTATACCGGCCTTATATAGGGCCTCAGATAGTTTCCAGAACCTTCTACTGTAGAAACATCTAGAATGTTCGAGTACATATCGGTCCCGAAATTTCTAGAAGGATCTTGACTCTCCTAGTTCTGCTACTCGACACTAGAGGGCGATAGTGGTAACTAGTGTTGCCATGTACAAGACATTAATAGTGGCGCGCAACAATATTAACGGTATAAAAGTAAAAAAGTAAAGATGCAGCCTATTTACGTCCCACTGCTGGGCACAGGCCTCCTCTCATTTCTGAGAAAGTTTTAGGGCAAGGAAATGTCCACCGCGCTGCCCCAATGCGTATTGGCGAACTTCACATGTCATCGAAATATTTTTTTTATTTCTCAGACATGCACGTTTCCTCACGATGTTTTCCTTCACCGCCGAGCACGTGGTAAATCAGCACTTAAAATTGCAATTAACAATTTCATTGGTGCCGGCGGGGATCGAACCCGGGTTGCTCGAGTACTGTGAAGCTTTCAGCGAGCGCTAACCATCTGAGCTACCACGGCTAAGATTATGTTATTAACGGTATATAATAACATAATCTATTATTATTAATGGTAATCAAAGATCACTTATTTTAATAATTTAAGTTTTCCTTTTTTTAATTCTTAAAATTTAAAATAAAAAACTCGTTGACCTATTATACTCCAAATGCTGCACCTATAAAGAGATCGGCAATCCTCAATGCGGCATCAGCTTCGTTCCTCCACGAAACGCAGGACCTCTTCTCCCGACGTACTTTTGTCCAAACGGGAGATGTAGATGGAGCTGTATAGTTGGCTCCACAACACGCAGAGTTGTACTCGCGTTTATTTTGGCGGTCCCACGCTGGTTACAGACGGGTCTCGACGTACGTCACTTCTCAATGAGAGTAAACCCGTCATTATCAATTTTGTTTCGGGTCACCACTGGAACTGATTAAATATATATTAATATAACATTGTCCTTTTGTTGTAATAGCTTACTTCTTCCAGGGCTGCGAGTATGTAATAGCACTCACCCATATGCGTACACCGAACGATATCAAGTTGGCGGAAGGCTGTAATGAAATAGATCTCATACTTGGCGGGCACGATCACGTGTACGAAATTTTAGAGGTATGTATTTTTGTACACACACGCACGCACACACACTCAGACTCACGCACGCACGCTCGCACGCGCATACACACACACACACACACACACGCACACACACACACACACACTATGAAGTTTCGGCACACACACATGCGTGCCGAAACTTCATAGTGGAATGCTTATAATAGATTCATCACCATCATCATTACAGCCTACCAAATGTTCATTGCTTATCATAGGACTCCTGTAGATTGTCTCATGCTGTAGATCATTGATATGCAGAAGAAACAGCGTTGTTGGTAGCACGCAGCCTTGTGGAACACCAGCATTAATAGGCTTGTAGTCGGAGCATGCACCGTCTACAACGACCGCCACACTTAACAAGCTTTTTAGCAACCGGTTTTTTTTTTAATTATGAGTTAGAAGTAGTGTTATCAGGATGATTACGATGTCCAGCTCCTATTTGATTTCCATCTGTCGCCTCTTACGACCCGCACGGCATGATATGAGGCAGTAGATTCGAATTGTAAGAAGCGAGTTGTAGTAAGTTAAAATCGTGTAAAATATAATACGTCGCACATATTTACTAAACCAATCTAATATAAATATTTACACACTACGAAAATAATCACCCAACAAATGTTTAAACCTGTCCGAGGACGAGTCTCAACAACATAATTTAAAATTAAATATGTTGTACAACCGACTTCAATATAAATTATTAAGAATAACTCAAACACTTTGATAAAAAAGTATAAGGAGACTTCAAGAAACTAAAAAGAATGAAATTATTTCCACATATTACCTTCTAAAGTGGATTCTAAGACACGGTGTATAGAACAATTAAACTACTTCAGTAACTATAATGTCGAACTTATTTTCTACTGACTTCAAAAAGGAGACGGTACTCAATTCAACTGTATGTTCATTTTTTATATGTGTGTTACCTCATAACTTTTTATTGGGTGAACTGATTTCGATGATTCTTTTTTTATTTGAACGCTGGTGCTTCACATGTGGTCCAATATAAAGGTTTGACCAGTAGTTTTTGAGTTATTCTTAATAATTTATATTGAAGTCGGTTGTACAAAAATTTTAATTTTAAATTATATTTAGTTCTTTTGAAACCGCTTTTGCTTTGTGGCTAACATTACAATTTTTAATTCTTCTTGTAATCCTGTCAATACATTGGTTATCTGAAAGAGATTGTCAGCAACACCCATGGCATATATACAGGGTTATTTTGCATTAACCGGTCACAGAGAAGGTTCAGAATAATATTAGTTATTAGGCCTTTTTAGATTCTATTAATTTTTTTTTCACCATTGGTGAAAAAATTAATTAAAAAAATTCTAAAACAGTCTGTCCTTTTTATCCTTTCGTAAGAGTCGATCGGTAGGCAAAAACGTTGTTCAATCAAATCACATTCAATTTGGGATAATTTCAAATAAATGTAGAAGCCTTATTTACTCGTATTTTCAGAAACTGCAATAACCATATATCATTATTTTATATATTTGAACTTAAGTTTAAAATTTGGCTCCTCTTTGAAAAATAACCCTGTAAGTACATATATCTTTTTTCATATATTCTGTAAATGTTTGTGTGAATGCCTCGATGGTCTAGTGATTGCGACTGTTGATGATCATAAAGCCGCGGGTTTAAGTGGGGGCTAATAATTTTTCACTCACCAGATGTCGCTAGTAGTGACTGAGGTAAAGTTTTTTGTTACACAATGTCAGTTTATTGAGAAATTAGTTTTAAATAACAGTTTATCATTATCTAGAGTATTATATTAATACACAACACAATGCGTCAGTGGTTTGATTTTTAATTTTTTGCACTTTATAACTCTTAAAAAAAAATTGGCTTTTAGTTATATTTATAGTTTGGTTTATTCATTTCTAATATAATTAATATAAAATATAACTAATAATACAGAAAGAAACCTTAAAGATTACATTTTCCTGAAAAATTATCGTCCCCACTATAAAAATCTGTCAAATATTTTACCTCACTGTAAAGTGGCGCCGCCCTGGTGGCATAAAAAGTCGTGGATGCCCTCATTCCGAGTCGGGCCAATAAATATCAGTTATTGAGTTGTTCAGTCAAGAATTTCTCAATAGCAGGCCGGAGTCAGGAAGTTGGTGGTGTTTCAACCCCGTGTCTCGGAAAGCACGTAAAGCCGTTGATCCTGCGCCTGAACTCTCCGGTCGTGTCGATAACCGTCCCGTCTGCTTAATTTACCGTCATCTATAATATTATCTTTCGCAATAGATTCGGTCTGGAGTGCATTATTATTATTATATGTTTTTGTATAGCATGCAATTAAAAACATATATAAGTAAATAAATAAAAATATTTTAGATAAACAACAAGTACGTCGTCAAGAGCGGCACGGATTTCCGACATTTCTCAAAGATAAACATTAGCTTCGGGCCCGAGGGAACACGCGTGGAGATATCAGAGATGCAGGTCACAAGCTCTTACCCGGAAGACCAGGTTTTGAAGGCCAAGGTGGAGAAGTATTCAGGTAAAAGGCATCTATTAGTCATCATTTGATGAAATTATGTCATGTAATGATAGTCATGGAAGGGACTGAGGTGTTTGACGTCTCAATGTCATAGCATGGATTCCTACATTTTTTGAATATTAATATTCAAAAGCAAAAGTAGCCTTGTAATATTTAATATATATCTGTTCTACACAAGGTTAGCTTGTAGTAAATGCATATAAAATAGGCTTGGGTAAAAAATATCGATATTTTCTCATAAAATATCGATATATATAGTCGATACTTTTTTTCGCGATATATCGGTATCGGTATACCGATATTTATATTAGAGTATATTTATATTAGAGTATCGAATTCGTATCAATTTGGATATATTTAAAAAGGTATCAATGACCATAACATGAAACAACAAAACGAGCTACAAAAGCATTCATGTCGTCGTCCAACCGTCAGTAATATTAAATTTTGGGCCTTATCCTTACATCATGCAAATTATGACGATATATCGATATTTATCACGCGATATATATATCGCGATATTGTTTAAGAATATCGATTCGATGTATATATCGATATAATTTTTCCCTTGTCCATCCCTAATATAAAATTAATCTCACCTTTTGTATAAACTTTAGGTGCAATAAAGAATACAATAAATAAATAAATTTCCCGTAGTAATGGATTATGTCACAGTTTTTTATTATAAATACAGATCCTTATTTCAGCCATGATTGAGGGTAAAATGGACGAAGTCCTGGGCAAGTTCTGCGTCCCTCTAGAAGGTAGATTCTCCTGCATCCGTCGCGAGGAGTGTAACCTTGGCAACTGGGTCTGCGATGTCTTGTTAGCGGCCACTGGTGCTGACCTAGTCATCCTCAACTCGGGAACCTTTAGATCTGATCAAGTGAGTTTAATTGATTACGTTAAATTTTATATATTTATTTTTATAGAATAAGGGTGACAAACGAGCCTACACTAGTAGAATACCCCAACGGGTATAATAACGATAGTGAGACTTGTAAAATTACAGATTGATGCCTTTTAGTCGCCTGCGCGATACTTTATACTGCTACAACGGGTTAGAGGTTACAGTTCGACCTTTATTAGTTTGCGTATTTCCTTTTATTTTTTACCCTCATTCTCAACAACATATGTTGTTTTTTTATAGAATAGGGTTAGTCACCCTATTCTATAAAAAAAACTATAGTCCACCTGATGGTAAGTGGTTGCTGTGGCCCATAGACATCTACATCTATCCTCATTTGCGAATCAAAATGCAGATGTGTTGTCACCCGTGAGGACTAAGTTGGAATGCCTCTTTTCCAGTAAAAAGGGTCTCCGGTTCTCTACACTTACTATACTCACACTCACAATACGAAACACAGCAGCTTTAAGCTGCTATTTTACGCTGGTATTCTGTGAGAGCGTGGTCCTTCCCCGGTCGAGCCGACCCATTCGTGTTACAACTATACTACTAATATAGCTGCAGCATGGCTCTACCACGTCTAAATGTGTGTAATTTTTGTTGTAGGTACACCCAGCTGGTGACTTCACTCTTCGAGACCTGTCCACCATAATCCCGATGAGAGATCCGCTAGTAGTGGTAGAAGCGACAGGAGCTACTATTTTGAAGATTCTAGAAAATTCTGTTAGCAAATATCCAAGTTTAGAAGGAAGATTTCCTCAGGTAATTTTTAATTTGTAACTATAATTAAAAATTACTTAGATTTTTAGTGGCGGAGGTAGAATATCCACTACCCCATATCTTCCTCTGGGTGTCGTAAGAGGCGACAGAAGGAAACAAGCCAGAAGAGGAGTAGCAGGATCTTCCTGATTACCACTAGAAAATAAAAAAACTGTGGTTGCCAACCTGCCAAGCTTGGCCACTATGGCAAATATCCCTCGTAAGAGGCAATCTATGGAGGCTCCTAATACTATGCAGTGGACTTTAGAATAGAATAATTTTTATTCAATATTGATTACAAGTAATTCGTATTGAAAGTAATTTTTTACTTTACCACTAGTTCGAAAAAATCCTCTGTCCTGGGAAGAACCAGCAAGAAACCCAGCGGGACTTTTTTTTAAATAAATTTTACAATATAAATGATTACAAACTATTTACAAAATTTGTTTTAGAAACAGTTTGGAAGCGACAACCTCATTCCCAGGGGTTATTATCAACCATGTATTCATTTAGATTATAATAGCCCTTTTTAAAGAACTTTTGTTAAATTAAATATTTAAACTTGGTACCTAATAGAGATACCTTGTATATTTTCTGGGACTTTGTTGTAATAGCGTATACATTACCCCAAGAACGAATTACTGACTCTGTGGAGTCGAGAGACTGGTATCACTAGCTTGTGTTTGTTCCTAGTGTTTACAGAGTGTATATCACTTTTTTTTACTGAAACTATCTTTGTTTTTGTGAACATAAATTAAATTTTCGTAAATATGCTCGGCGGCCAAAGTTAATATATTTTTTTTTTAATTTTTCTCTGAGAGACTCGGTTTAAGGTTGTAAATAGCTCTTATAGCCCTCTTCTGCAAAACAAAACTAGTTTCTAAATCAGCGATAACTCTCGCCACAAATTTCACAGTACGCAAGCAACCTGGGTTCAATCCCTGCAGGCACCAACGAAGTACTTGATCTGAGTCCGTTAGTGACTTTTTCATGACGCACACATACGCACGCGCGTACACAAATACAATTATCCTTTTAAAAATATTAAAATGGGTAGCTAATTCAAAACTTTGAAATTTGTTATAATAGCAATCTCCGAAAAGCCTACAATACAGCAGGGTTAGTCAATGCTTTCTACAATCGTTAACGCTAACCTAAGTTTCTATCTTATAAAAATTAATTAAATCAACGTTAAGTCATGTGATTTGGATTTCATCAAATGTGCTGAATGAATGAAAAATAAATGATATTTTTCAAATATTTAATTATAAATGAATGCGTTCAATGTCAAATAGTTTTCTATTAGCGTTAAAGATTGTAGAAAATCAACTTGGCCAAACTTGAAGGTGATTTTCCGCAACAGGTGGCCGGGATCTCGTTCGCTTTCGATCCGTCGAAGCCTCCCGGGCAGAGGGTAGCCGAACAAGTGGTGAAGATTGGTGACGAGTATCTGCAACAAGAGCAGAAGTACCGGCTCGCGGTCAAGCAGTACTTGTACGCTGGGAACGACGGCTTCACCATGATACCGCATTGTCCTGTACTGGTACGTAACCATCTATTGGCCAGAACTCCAGGCTGTTCTACCCACTTTTTTATAGGAGAGGGGGGTAAACGAGCATGTGGCTTAGTTGATGGTGACTACCGCTTCCCATAAACAACTGACGGGAATTGCAGGCCTTTTAAGGAATTGTAGGTTCTTTTCTTGAAGGTCTCTAAGTATACGACTGACTGAGGTAAAGTTTTCTGTTACACAATATGATTTAATTGAGAAATTAGTTTTAAATAATAGTTTATCAGTTTTTCGAGTGTTATATTAATACACAACGCAATACGTCAGTGATTTGATCTTTAATTTTTGTACTTTATACCTCATTTTTATTTATTTTTTTATAATTAATAGAATCAGGCGTTACTTTGCGGAAATCCATTATATAAAAGCTTTTACAAAAATTTACTTCGTAAATATCCGCGTTATAAAATAAAATGATGTGTCTTACCTAGTATGAAGAAGCAAGGCAAGGCAAGCAAGCAAGGGCGGGAGGTGCTTCTTCATACTAGGTAAGACACATCATTTTATTTTATAACGCGGATATTTGCGAAGTAAAAAAAAAAAATTTTGTAAAAGCTTTTATTTATTTTTTTACTTTTACTTATATTTATAGTTTGGTTTATTTATTTTTAATGTAATTAATATAAGATTTAACTAATAATTCTGAAAGAAACCTTAACTTTTATATTTTTGTAAGAAATTATCTTCTCCGCTATGAAATCTGTCAAATGATTTACCTCTTTGTAAAGTGGCGCCACCCTCATGGCAAAAAAAGTCGTGGATGCCCTCATTAGGGTAGTGGCGTGTGGGCAGTGCCTGCTCCGGAATTCTCTGGTACCCACTGTCCACAGGATGTTGAATAGCCAACTCAAAATCAAAATTATTAAAACGTTGGTATATTGTTGGTTGATGTGTCAAGATCATGCCAAATGAAGTTTGTAGTCCCTGTCTACCCCTCTCGGTGCAAGGTGTAAAAGTTTATGTTGTGTAATGTGGCCGGCAACACACCTGCAATTTCCCTGGTGTTTGCAGTTGTTCATGGGCGGCGGTAATAACTTACCATCAGGTGAGCTGCATGCCCGTTTGCCCCCTCTTCTATATAAAAAAATGTTTAACTAAAGTGTCAATTACACAATTTCATTAAGACCTTGAACTATGTTACAGGTGTCGGAGGATATGTGCCCAGAGGTGGGCATGGCCATTCAGAACCATTTCGCGGCGATCAACGTACGGACAGGCAAGTCGCGTCCTTCGAAGCACCGACAATCCCTTGTCACTCTTAGCCGACGGTAAGTACTTATGGATACCTCATCAAAAGTGGTTATTATAATGATTGATGCGAGTATTAGCATTCCAACTTACAACTGGTGTCTGTGCTACGATCGGACGTCAGTCAACATGGCTAACCGTGACAAAGTCTCGTTATATTTAGCAATATTATTCCATATTGCATGCCGTAAGCGCCTAAGCGGTCGGTATGTTCTATTAGGGCCTAAAAATTAAGATTCCAACGTTTTGTCGCATGAAATCGTATCTAGCAATCATATTGTACATAAAAGTGATATAAAAAGCGCATTGTTAGAAAGATAAATGATTGTTGAACTCATTAATATTTTTTTTTAAATCGATTAATTGCTATTTTTAAATAAAAAGGGGCTTTAGTGGATTATGGTGTGGATTTATCAAGTTCGCAAGGCTTGTAAACACGATAACTTTTGGAAATGTTAATTGTTTAACTCAATATATTTTTAAAACTTTTCATTTATCATGTGGGAAGCCATTGAATATAATGGCAGTTTAATAATATAATGTCGGAAGCCTTGTATGAATAAATTATTAATAAATAGAGACTGCGTCACTCAGTTACTTCGGCGTCAGTCGCCGTCGTGAGTGGACATTGTTTCGGTTGTTTGCAGCGGCTCAAAATGATCGCTGTACAAATACACAATATTCGAATAACCAAAGGAGAATGGGATTTTTGGGCCTGAAGTTAACTAATTGGTTTATACTGTCAAAATTGGCTATATTTTTCTAAAGTAAAGTACAAAAAAAAATATTACTATATAGGAAGTTATTTTTACAATCTAGAATTCGAAAAAACAATAAAATAAGAAATAAGTTAGAAAATCGATTGCATCGATATTATATTTATTCGGACCCGAAAAATTAAATGAAAAAGCTTGCAAGGTTTCATTAAAATTATATTATTTACTTTGAATGATACATTCATTTGGAAATAAAATATATTATTCTCTTATAGAAAAAAGAAAAATAAACATTTTATAGCAATATAAATCGATTACCATAAAGAATACACTTATGAAATTCTCGTTTCTAAACGTTATCTTTCAATACAGGACTTCTCATTTTGAATTTGAAACTTGGCTTGACAGTTCAAACTTCAAACTATTAATTTAAAAGAAAAAGATAGATTTTCGTTTCGATTTGAAATGAACACAATATAATCGATTCTTGATTAAATTGAGTGTATTAATATCTATTTTCGATTATTTTTCTGTGTTTAGGAGATAATAATTGCGAACATATCTACAAAATAATAATAAAAAATACAAAATATCAACATTCCAACATGTAACAGTAACAACAACAATTCATGTAATCGATCTCAGATCGATATCCCTAATATTCACTTCACTTAGTTGTTATTATTTTAACTTTTGTTAATTGTTTCGCCATTGTGTTTCCTTATTAACCACAATTTTAGTGATTTTACACTGATCCTGTCTTTATATTTTTAAGTAATTATAGTGAAGAATAACCTGTAACAGTGTAATAACAGTGAAAAATCACCTGTTACAGTGTAGGTAATACTTAATCTCACTTTTACTTATTCTACAATAACTCGGCTCCTAGATTGACAAATGTCACCAGATTTTCAGCTATGAATCGTTTATATATACGCTTTCAAATGGTCCTACTTTCAACTTGTTAACAACTGGGCCCAAGAATGTATGGAGACGTCTCCTTCTCCTTTCTTAAATACTTGATTATAATAATAATGAGATTTTTTTATTACAGTATTTTAAAAGCACAATAAATAATAGTAGTACGTACTAAAAGTAAGTAGTATCAATTTTTTCGTCATGTGTGTCATTTTCATGGTTTTCGAGGGTGCTGAAGCCGATAGTGCTGTCGAAATGTAAATCCAAGATGGCGGCTGCAATAGATATCAATTTTTTCATCTCGGGTGTCATTTTCATGGTTTTCGAGGGAGCTGAAGCCGATAGTGCTGTCGAAATGTAAATCCAAGTTGGCGGCTGCAATAGGTATAAATTTTTTCATCTTGGATGTCATTTTCATGGTTTTCGAGGGTGTTGAAGCCGATAGTACTATCGAAATGTATTTAAACTACTTTAAAAATTCCGTATAATCATGTTATACGTAATTTTTTCAATGCGCTCAGGGCATGGCTGGACATGGGCTAAGCCGTTTGAAGATCATCAGCCCTTTTTGTTTCGGGGTTTTTTAAATTTTCAATTTATATTATAATCCAAATTTTTTGTAATCACGGTGGGTAGTATCATAAAGTACGGGATAATTTTGTACTGTTTGTATTAAAATCTCTGCGATCACTCGCTATATGTGACAGGTTATTCTTCTTCTTCTTTTATATTATGGCTTCTCTTGATAGAATTCTGCCAGTGTCAAGTCAGTAGACAGGTTATTCAATGCGAATCGATTCATTCGCCGCGATTTGAATTGGACATGTTCAATTTTACTCTCAGCGAATGTCCATTCGATGCGAGTAGCCATTTCGCTCAGCGTGCTGCTCCTGACTAAACGCCCGTGCATAGATCGTTTCGTTTTCATTCTGCATAGATACGTGTGTAAGTCAATCAAATAACTCAACCAAAAAACATTTTTCTACAGTGGATAAATTACGATATAATTCGTTTCTTGGGTGTGTATAGAAAAAAATGGGATCTGTGGGACACAAATAATAGTAACGATTTTAGTTTTACACCTGATAGAGCCACGCTATAGCTATATTAATAGTATCGTTGTAGCACAAATGGGTTGGCTCGACCGGGGAAGGACCACGCTCTCACAGAATACCAGTGTAAAATACCAGCTTGATAGTGCTGTTTCGTATTGGAAAAGAGGCATTCTATCTTAGTCCTCACGGCTGACAACGCATCTGCATTTTAATTCGCAAACGAAGATAGATGCAGATGTTTATGGGCCACAGATACCACATACCATCAGGTGGACTGTGTGCTCGTTTGTCACCCTAATTCTATAAAAAAAAAACGCAAAGGCACACGCCTTCATTAAGTTGTTTAACGAATTAATTGAGTTAGGATTCGAAACACCAACCCAAGAGCAATTGAAAAGAAAAACTAAGAATATAAAAGATACATGTTATAGATAATTCTCGTGTTGTACTCGCTGTGTGTGATGGCAGGCAGCGAATTGTCACAGCAAGTCTTCGCTATGTGTGACTGAAGCTTTACACACACACGGTGATGGAGAGGGCGGGACCGCACGTGTTTGCAGACTTACTTACATTGCAAGCGAATACACATGGTAGAGTCATGCTGCAGCTATATTAGTAGTATAGTTGTAGTACGAATGGGTCGGCTCGACCTGGGATGGACCACGCTCTCACAGAATACCAGCATAAAATAGCAGCTTAACACTGCTGTGTTTCGTATGGTGAGTGTAGACAACCGGAGACCCTTTTTTTGGAAAAGAGGCATTCCATCTTAGTCCTCACGCGTGACAACGCATCTGCAGTTTGATTCCTTATTGAGGATAGATGTAGATGTCAATGGGCCACAGCAACCACTTACCATCAGGTTGGACTGTATGCTTGTTTGTCACCCTATCCTATAAAAAAAGCCGTTCTTGTGTGGAAGACGCTTAATTCCCATCAAGCCATTTACGATCAAGTAGGCTGTAAGTTTGTTGGTCAACTCATAGCTACTGCTCTAACTGCGATACTGATGTATTTCGCTCTACGCTATAAAATTGCCATTTAGTGATTGATAGTATGCTCGATTTTTTTTTTGGTATTTTTAAAACTACAGAATCGATATCTTTCAAAACTTAGGTGTTCATTATGCAAGTGTTCCTATAGTATTTATTAAAATGAAATTGTTTTACGATATCGTAATTTCTCGAATCATGGGAGTCGAAAAACTTTCATTAACTTAAGAACGTAATAAACATTAATGGTGTAGCACACACACACACACGCACGCATACACGTACGTATAAATGCACATGCGCACACACAAATTTAATTTAGTAGAATTTTTAATGGTTGTTTTTTTTATCGCAGGCATAGTTTAGTAAAGATGTTAGATGGGAGCGAATTAGACGGACCTCCGCCACTGCGGAGAGCGTCGTCCGCCGCAATGGAACCCACTCCGCATCATCACAGGTAAAGTTTATGGGGAAAAATAAATCTAGATTTTGAGTAGAGGAGTACTCTAAAGTCTAAACTGTACAGGTATACTTTTCGGACATTTATTCAACGTTAATTATGATATAACATTCTTAATTAGGTCATCACTGGCAACATTTTTACGTGGTAGAGCCATGCTGCAGCTATATTAGTAGTATGGTTGTAGCACGAATGGGTTCCCTTGACCGGGAAAGGACCACGCTCTCACAGAACACCAGCGTAAAATAGCAGCTTAACGCTGCTGTGTTTCGTATGGTGAGTGTAGAGACCCTGAGACCCTATTTACTGGCAAAGAGGCATTCCATCTTAGTTCCCACGGGTGACAACGCATCTGCATCATGAATCTTTATTGAGGATGGATGTAGATGTCTATGGGTCACAGTAGCCACTTAGCATCGGGTGGACTGTGTGCTCGTTTGTCACCCTATCTTATAAAAGAAAACACGCACTGGTTGTACAGTCTTGTTGCCAGTGATAACCTATGGAAATGTGGCGTGGTCCTTCACTGCTGGCCGTATGAGGAAGCTCAATGTCGCTCAGCGAGCTATGGAGAGGGCTATACTCGGGGTTTCTCTTGGGGGGCTCGTGATAAACTTAGAAATGAGGATATCCGCAGTAGAACCAGAGTAACCGACATAGCCCAACAGATTAGTAAGCTTAAGTGGCAATAGGCCGGCTATATAGCTCAAATAACCGACAACCGATTGGTAAAAAAAGGTTCTCGAGTGGCAACCTCGTACCGGTAGGCGACGTGTAGGGTGACTCCCCACAAGATGTAGTCACGACCTGGTAGGACATGCAAGAAGTCGATGGATGCAGGTGGCTCAGGACCGTGCTTTGTGGTATTCCTTGTGGGAGGCCTATATTCAGCAGTGGTCTTGTTCCTAATTAAAACTGAAAAGAAATAGAGCCAAAAGTAAACAAAAAAAAATAAACATTAATGTTAGTAAATGTGTTGTTAACCCGAGCAAAGCAGTTACTTTGTGCGCTTTTGTCTCCCTTATTCTATATCTATAATACATATACATATATATTTTAATACCAGCACCTTTAATTCATGCTTTTGACCATCCAAAAAAAATATTTTTATGAAATATATTAACTGTTCGTAATTTGACAGGTTGACGCGACGCGCGTCTCTGGACGACCTTGAGCAGAACGCGTGCGATTTGGCGCCAAAAGTTGAAAACAGAATAATAGTCATCGATAAACCGGAGGTAAAATCCATAATTATATAGTTTACGCGGCAAGTCTGAGACTGCCTCGTTTGTTTAGGGGGTCGCAAACGCCATTAATGATCGTGAGGTCTCCGGTTCGAATCTCGGGTCGGATCGAAATCAGTTTGGGGTTTTTTTCCGTAGCAGCCCTAAGTCAGGAAGCTAGTGGTATTTTACCTCCGTGCCTCTTAAAGAACGTTAAACCGTTGGTCCTGCGCCTGATCTCTCTCCGGTCGTGTCAGATTACCGTCCAATAGTACAACTTTGCTTTCACACACTCTCTTGCATCATAATTATATACTGCGCAGAAGGCTAGCCTCCGTTGCGGCTGACCGCCGTGACCGATATTCGAGCTGGAGGACATTAAGCGGCAATAACCTGAAATGTGTGGACTGCAAACTTAAATAAACTAACATTTATGTTTGTTTAATTACCATTCGATTACTGTCGTGAACCATTCCTAACGCAAGCATTTTACGCTTACTTGAAGTAGATATATTAAACGGGGATATTAATAATATTATTAAGGTACGTGAGGGTAATAAGGCTACCTTAAGCTTTGCCGCCCTATAAAACCAAAAGTAGGAGAAGCACAGAGACAAACACACAAAGTCGTATACTATAACTAATATAAAAAAAGAGCAAACAAGCTTTAACATTAATAAGTAACACATCGAAAAATTATCTTAAAAAATTAACTACACTACACAATACTAAAATCTTTACAAATATATTTCATATTCAATATTTACTATATAGTCTACTGTCACAATGGTGTAGATAAACAGCGCCCGTTTGAGCCTTTATTATTTGATTGACTGATGAGATACCGTAACAGTGGTGGAGCCACGCGGCAGCTTTTGCTGTTGCACGGATGGGCCGGCTCGAACCGGGGTGGTACCACGACCTCACAGAAAACCAGCGTGAAGTAGAGGTTTACCTCTGCGTTTCGCTTGGTGAGTGCAGGTGGCCGGAGGCCCCTTTTACTGGAAATGAGGCATTCCATCTTAGTCCTCACGGGTGACAACGCATCTACATTTTGATTTGTAATAGAGGATAGATGTAGATGTCTATGGGCCGCAGCAACCACTTACCATCAGGTGGACTGTGTGCTCGTTTGTCACCCTTATTCTATAAAAAAAAATCACAGAGCCATCAATGCAAACAAGACTGTAGTTTTTGAATTATAAGACAGTGACCATATTACCCTTACGTACTATAATAGTAATTAATTTTAAAAATATATCATATATATATAATGCGTGCCATTTTGTGACTGCATCTTAGACCAACAAAAAAAGATAAACGGAGTGCTGCGTACATTTCCGGTCACGTTGAAACCATTAACAGTTTCGCTTGGTCAATACTTATTAATATTTAAGATACGGTGATGGGAGAAAGTTGACATAGCATATATTTTAAATAATTATTAATATTCCAGAAACTTCAAGCACTCCTAGCGGCGAGGGCCCGTTGGGAATCTGACACAGTCATCAAGGAAGTCGATGATGAAAACTCACCCTGAATCTTTCAATCACGTTTCATCCAAGTCTCTTGTTTTAAAATCGTATTATTTATGCAATTTCGACCTTAACAAGTTAGTGATAAAGTTTACCTTTGCGTAGCTTCATATATTTTAGGATAGTACAAGGAGGTAACGCACCATTTGTGGAAGAAACAAAGTCATATCGATTGCTTTATTTAATTAATAGAAATCGAGGTTAAACGCATCGACGCTAAGCAATTTTTATTTTATGGCCGCATTAACTCTACTTGAAAAAATATATCGAGATATAGAAAACATACTGGCAATAATTGATACTCTGTCATCGATATCGACTTATAACAAAGGCCAGCAGTAGCCTTTCAACGTGGGAGCGACATCAGGTACTATTTCTCGTCTCTCGTTTAACAAAAACTGTAATTTATTATTAATATAACCTTATAAACAATTAAAAATAGTTCGCGGACTCGATGTGACAAAGATATTTTGCTAAAAGTTAAAAAGAAATAAGATATACGCTGATATTTGCGCAAAGAAAAACAACTCGCTAACTATAATAGCAATCAATATTAAATGCTATCCTAGCGCTTAATTATGTTCCGATCTCACACGAGCTTCGGCGTTTACTTTAATGAAGGTAATAATTTTATTATTATTGACAAGTTGGGTCAAAAAAGACGTTAGGCTGTATTTGTTGATTTCCTTTGACGTTTATATTAAAACAATCGTAAAGGTTTTTATTTAGTTAGCGTAGCATAATGCTTGTATATGTTTTGTTTATTATGTTATTTAATAATACTCTTATAAAGGGTAAATAATAATAATTAATATATTTTTATAATGCACCAAAAATATTTTTATCTAATATATTTTACGTAGCAAACACTAAACTAGTTCTATCGTATCCTCCAGTTTTCTAAATATAAAAAGCACTAACTTATAAAACAATGTAACGTAATTTTCGACACTAATTATAATTAAACAAAGCTCATAGTTACTTGAATATAATCAGATCGTCCGTTTTTATAGCTTATCTACCTCATAACAGTATTGCTTATATGTGTTAGTGCTATAGTATTGAATGGACTTCGAACCAAAATGTATTCTCGGTTCTATAATTAGACAATCATTCTCTCATTTTATCGGACCTCTCGCTCGCTCTTTAAAATCTATATTATAAAATCTTTACAAATAATTCGTGAAGAGGAATACAAGACGTACATTGATAAAATTAATGTTTTCAAATGTCTACTTTATATGTTTTTTTTTTATATAGGATAAGGGTGACAAACGAGCACAAAGTCCACCTGATGGTAAGTGGTTGCTCTGACCCATAGACATCTACATCTATCCTCGATTACGAATCTCTGACTTTAACTCTTAACGGAGAAATGTAGATATCTATGGGCCACAGCATCCACTTACCATCATGTGTGTTCGTTTGTCACCCTTATTCTATAAAAAAAAGGTGGTGGCATCTCTAACATATTTACAAATGAATATGTAATGATGTTGTTTGGTCAACAGACCAATCTTTAAGATTATTGATAAAGTTTACTAACTATTCATAAAACTAATATATATTCAATCAAATCACATGCATTATCGCTAATTTTTTCACTTAACATCCAACTTCTTTATGGTTTAAAATTTAAATAAATTATGAACAGAAGTTTCATACTTTCAGTTTATAAAGTACTTAAAATTTTAAAGACATATTTTAGTAGATATTGGGAAAACTTATTGTATACAAATAAATACAATTGTTTTGAATGTTTTTGGAATCTCAGTGTATTATAGAATATTCAGCTTTTTGCACCAATTGTAACTATTAGAACCAAATTTACAAATAGGTATTTATGTTTGACTTTATATTCATTTTCTCTTGGTCCATTATAAAAAGCCCAGTCCAAAAAATTCGTTTCAATCGACACTTAAATAATCGAAAATAAAATTATAGATGATTTTTTTTTTTTAATTAATATTTCATATTTACTAAACATGTTTTTAGCAATAATAATTCGAGTGAAATTTTAAAAGACATAGCTATATTAAATATACAGTGCTAGTACTCATCTGATTATGATTCAAAATGGTTGACAGTGGATTTAGATTGATTGAATATTATGTAGGTATTTATTGTAAAAAGGCGGCGCCATTTTAATTATTTGAGCGGGAAACGCGAACAATATTTGTTATTTTTTTTTTATTGTAGAAAAGACGCTATTTTTTGTCTATAGTATTAATGATAGTTACATAATAATTAATTTATTTTTTTATAAGTACGAACATTAGTTACTCCATTATTAACCTATTATCGAATACGTAATATATTAAATGGCTATTACATATTTTATAGGTCTATTAACGAAAAATAATTAGGTACTTATTTTTATCTTCCCCCTTAAAATCTCTTAGGGAATTAATTATTGCACTTTGTGTCCGTATTTAAATTAGCATAGCAGTGCCTTTGCAATACATGTTAACTGAGATTTTAATAATTTATGTTAAGTACATAACAAATAAGGTATGCAACCAGAACTAATAACGCTTAACGAATAATATAACTTATTTTGTAAGCAATAAGATTGCTTTTTGTGTTAGAGAAATTTAATTAATATACTTGTCTGTCACCAAACATATTTTATAGTCGCTTTGATAGTTGAGTTTCTATTAGAAGTTCAATACTGTACGTAATATGTTGTTAACTTTCTTAAGCCACAGTCTATGGGTTAGGATTTTTTTATGAAGATATTACAGTACTTCAGTATAGGTACTGTGGGACGGTAAACGTTAGAAACAATCGTATTGTACAAACACTCGTAATTTCAACTTTATCACAAAGGAATAAATGTCAATATAATTTCTAAGCAGCAATTAGTTCCAAGCCGTGCGAACGACTCAGCTGATGAGTCAGTTACGAATAGCATTGAACAAAGAGAGGAAAGAGCGCCACTGTTTTGCGGAGCTGAATATCCATTGTATTTTGTTTTACATAATTGAGTTATGTAGTTTTACCAAAAAATAAATAAGTTATACATCTATATTTAAAAATATATTGTTACGAGCTTGGGGTTCAAGACAATTAAAAACTGCCGAGTGAATTACCAAAATTTACACTTTAATTACAGAACACTAATTCAAACTTAAAACCACACTAATAATAAAACAGAATTGTACTACTGATCACTTTAGTTCGCAGTTATATCGCTTCGAAGTATTCGCTTATATCGCCAATTTAATACTGCCTCGGTCGCGATCTATACCGGCCTTATATAGGGCCTCAGATAGTTTCCAGAACTTTCTACTGTAGAAACATCTAGAATGTTCGAGGACATATCGGTGCCGATTGACTAGGTGTCGATAGTTCCAGAAAGTTCTTCCATGGAAATTTCTAGAAGGTTCTTGACTCTCCTAGTTCTACTACTCAATGCTAGAGCACGCTAGTGGTATTAATTGTATATATCGAATTTGTATATAATTGAATATCGCAATACTGACAATCTCGCAATAATAATTTGGATAGCATCAGCATTGTATTATATACCGTCTCGATACACTGTCATATTCGGAAACACGAAGTTGGCCGATGCACAATATTTATTCTGAAGTACTGTACAAATTGATTGTGTTTTTATTATTAAACTTCTAACTACGAGGGTGGATTGAAAAGTACTCGGCCTAACCAAGAAAATAAACAAATACTAAATCAGTTATATTTTTATTTTTCTACATAATCACCATCAAGTTCAATACACTGTTGCCACCTCCCCTTCCAAGCATTTAGACCGTTGAAAAAAAATGATTCTTCCTTAGAGTCAAAATATGCGTCTACAGCTGCTTTGACCTCGTCGTTTGTCGAAAATCTTTGACCTCCCAAGTGCTTTTTTAGGTTAGGGAACAGAAAGAAGTCTGATGGTGCCAGATCAGGTGAATACGGCGGATGCGGTAACAGTTCAAAGCCACAGTTGTGAATTTCAGCCATTGACTGTACTGACGTGTGAACACGGGCGTTATCTTGATGAAACAGGACTTGTCTTCTGAGCATTCCTTGACGTTTTTCTTTTATTTCCTCTCGTAAACGACGTAGTAAGGTGCAGTAGTAATCAGAGTTTATATTCTGACCCCTTTCAAGATAATCAATCATAATCACACCTTTCGAGTCCCAGAATACTGAAGCCATCACCTTATTTGCCGACAAAATCGACTTAGCCTTTTTAGGGGGTGGTGAACCAGGTCTTCTCCACTGTTTTGATTGTTGTTTTGTTTCCGGTGTACAGTAATGAACCCATGTTTCGTCCATAGTAACAAAACGATTCAAAAAACCATCTGCATCGGCTTCAAATAACTCCAAACAGTCGCGTGAAATAGTCAATCGCGTCCTTTTTTGTTCAACTGAAAGCAGTCGCGGAACCCACCTCGCAGACACCTTGTGGAAACCCAACTCGTTGACAATGATGTTTTGAGTTCGTTCATAAGAGATGCCTATAATCTCGGCTATCTCTCTAATTTTTAATCTGCGGTCTCCCATTATTAAATCAAGTACTTTTTTAATATTTTCGTCAGTAGTTGACGTCGAAGGCCTTCCAGAGCGGGGTTCATCTTTCACACTCTCTCTACCACGCTTAAATTCTGCTATCCATTTTTTGACGGATGAATATGACAGAGCACAATCGCCTAATGTACTGACCATGTCATCATGGATGGCTTTTAATGATAGCCCCTTCTTATGGAGGTACTTAATGACGGCACGCTGCTCGATTTGCTCCATTCGCGGAAATTATGTCCGATTACTTTGTTAATAAATTTATAAAATCACAACTAATTATCGCACACGTTTCGAACTTCATACAATGAACTAGTCTGAACTGAACTAAATAATGTGGATAGATTTGATTTTTAGAATTGAATGGATCTGTGTTAGGCCGAGTACTTTTCAATCCACCCTCGTAATAAAGGCCTATGTATTTTAAAATTAAAAGTTTGCAATAACGTTCTGCACTTTACAACTCTTGTAACTC